GAGTACTTAATAAAATTTAAGACATATTTTGAGTATTTTTCTTTTGCCATTGCATAGTTAATAATATGTCTGAATGTGTGTATATTTAAAGTTTATGTCCTTTACCCTCCCACAGAATTTATTTAAGGAATTCTGTTTTAAATACTAACCTGGCCAGAAAATACATTGAACAATTTTTAATTACTTTTTTGGCATCAGGTATATATTTAAATATTATAGCTCAATACTTATCCATTATGGATACTAATACCAACATTTATATATTATTATGTACCATGGAGTATTATTAATGCTTACAACAATGTTCTGAGATCATAATTACTATAAAGCCCATTTACAGATTAAGAAAGTCAGACAGACAGACAGTAAAAGATAGAACAAAACACGCACCCAAATATAACAGTCCAGTAAACATATATTTAACTTATATTGAATACATACCACTTTTCCAAGGTCAGCTTAATGGATGTTCTGGAACAGCAAAAGATTTTGGAGTTTCAGCAAGATCCAGGTCCACATGAATCTTTCTAGTTAATGAAACTGTTTATAATATGCATTCTCTATAAACATTTGGTAAAGAATGATGCAGCCGACACATTTCACATAGTCATGTGTAAACAATGTATAGAATTTTAAACCTGTTTCCTTCCATGCTTTAAAAATGGTGTTTATTTTATCATTCATTTTGTTTGGCTCTATATCCATACTTTTCTACACTAGAAGTAAAGTACATAAATACTAAGCCTCAAAATGAGAAAATGGAAAAATGAGTCTCAAGTCAACCTGAAATAATTACTCACATCCGCTGAATCAGAATCACATATTAAAAATCACAATTCTATTTTTTGCATATACTTCAAAGAATTAGCAATCAGCCAATAGCAATTATGTAGTTTGCATTTTTTTCTTCAAGTTATAGGTTTTATTGAAAGAACTACACAGGTTTACTAATGATCTTTAATTTTTTATTTTGATTATTGAGGTGGCATTGGTTAATAAGATCATATAGGTTTCAAGTGTGCATTTCTATGATACGTGATCTGTATATTGCATTATCTGCCCATCACCCAAAGTCAAATCTTCTTCGGTCACCACATATTTGGCCCTTTTTACTCTTTTACTATCCCCTCAATCCCTCTTCCCTCTGGTAACTACCATACTGTTGTCCATGTCTATGAGTTTCAGCTTTATTAGCACATATTAGTAAAATAATATGGTTCTTAGGTCTTTTTGCCTGACTCATTTCACTTAGCAAAATGTTCTCAGCGTTCATCTGTGTTGCGCAAATGGCAGGATTTCACCTTTTCTTATGGCTGAGTAGTAGTCCGTGGTACCACATCTTCTTTATCCATTCCTCCACCAAAGGGCAGTTTGTTATTTCCATCCTAGGCCATAATAAATACTGCTGCAATAAACATGAGGATGCACATATCTTTTGAATAAATATTTTTGAGGTTTTTGGGTAGATACCCAATAAGGAGAGGGATTTCTGGTTCATATGGTAATGGTCACTCTATTCTTAATTTTATGAGGGACACCCATACTGTTTTCCATAGTGGCTGTACCAGTCTACATTCCCACCAGCAGTGAATGAGGGTTCCTTTTTCTCCACAACCCATCCAATATTTATCACTTATCTTGTTGATGACAGCTACTCTAACAGATATGAGGTTGTAACTCATTAGTTTCAATTTGCATTTCCCTAGTTTCATTTTCTTATGAAGATTTATTTTGTCTCTATGAATACAGATAAAAGACCAAATAAGAAAGTGATCAATTTTACCACAATAATGTCCAATTATTCTTATTGTATATAGTTATTTAAAAGTCTAAACTGCCTTGGGCCTCATTCAGGAACTGGTAGTGAGATACATTCTGAGAAAGGTACCATCAGCGATTTTGTCTTTGTGGGAACATCATGGAGTGGACTTGCACCAACCTAGATGGTTTATTCTGTTACTGTAGTTGTACGTGTTATACTTTTATAAGACTGGAAGCATAGTAGGTTTGTTTACACCAGCTGACCACAAACGTGACTAATTAAGTATAGTGTAAGCCTTGATAGTTGATTTTTCCTTTTGTCTGGAGAAAGTTCAGCTCGAGTTCAGCTGTTATTGTTGAGGCATCCACTTCAAGGCTATCTGGAATAATCACCTTGACCCCTGTAGCCTGCTAGATATAGAGCCAAGGAGCCACCCCTCACGGAGGCTCCTTTGTTTCAGAGATGCTGGTTGATTTGAATAATCGACCATTTGGCTACTTGTTTTTTTCTGTTACCACACTTTAAATTCACCCAAAAAAAGTGAGCCCATGAAACCCTGGGCCCCCACCCTGGACCCCAATAAAAAGTAGAAAGAATCCTAGGCCCATGTCTGTCTGTCTCTATCTCCCCCTTTTCCTTCCTCCCCATCCCCCCTCTTCCCCCTTCCCTCCCTTAGTGTCTCTGTGACTCTGCATCTATTCCTTTCTCTTGCTGCCCACGCAAGACCTCCTCCTGCGCCTGTACACTCTGGTACCTATTTGTAAGTCAAGGGTTCCTAATGATTATTGCTGAAGGGTGTTGTACAAAGTAAGAATCTCCAGAGTTCATTCAGATGCAATATTGATTTCAAAAAGGTAGATGTCTGTCGGAAGCTCCCCAGGGACAGTGGGCACCCTCAGGCATTTCTAGCCCACAACTTTCTATTGATAGACTGATACCAGCATAGAACAGCACCGCGCTGCACTGCAACCTTACAAGGGCTAGGGCTCACTATGCAATAAGAGATTTCCAACTCCATTATAATTTTATGGAACCACCATCCTACACGTTGACTGAAATGCTGTTATGTGGCACCATTGTATAAGTAATAGCATCAAATATATCTGATACCAAGGAAACACAATCCTAACAAAGTAAGTGCAAAATCCCTTTTAAAACACCATAAGACTTTAGAAATATTGTGAGAAATATATAAAGAAGTAAATGAAGAGATAACTATATCCATAAATTAGAATGCTTAATATTGTAAAGATTATAATACTTAGCAAATTGACTTATATGTTCAAGCAATCTGAATTCAAATTTTGAAAGTTTCCTCCCTAGAATTTGACAAGCTCTTCCTAAAATATATGTAGGTAATTCCACAATAGCCAACACAGTCTTTAAAAAATGGCAGGAGTCTCATCACTTGCTACCAAAATTTATTATAAAGCTACGGTAATTATAAATGTTTTATCAGTGCAAAAATTAGAAGACAAAACCTAGAAAAGGGTTTATGCTTATATTTCAACTTCATTTGTGATGAAAGCATCTCTGCAGAGCTATGGGAAAAGGCTGGCTTTTCAATAAATGGTCTTGGAAAATTTGGATTTCTACACAAGAGTAAGAAAAATAAACTTGACAAATATTTCTCACCATAAAAATGGGTTCTGGGGTCAAGGACTTATAGATTGAAAAGTGAGAGGAAAACCAATATAGGTTCCAGCAGATAGCCTAGTATTGCATGTGGACAACCTTGGAGTGTGTAAAAATATTTTAATGGTATACAGCAATTCCTAATTATAAAGATAAAATGAATGAAATTAAACTGTAATAATATTAAGAAAGTTGGTTTTTCAAAAATTCACTCTCATTGAGACAGTAAAAAATAAAACCAAGTAAGGAGACTGTTGGTAAATGTTAGAAGTAGCAGAGAACTTATATCCCAAAGACTAAAATTGAAAAGATTGATAATACTGTTAGAATGCTCACACACTGAAGAAAGGCATTTATATTGTGATAGTTAATTTGAAAACCTGATAATTTTTCTACCATAAATTTAACATATATCTGGCATATGTTAACCCAGTAACCCGGTATTTTGATCCTAGCTATATACTAAACTACACCTATAGGCATGTAAGGAAATGTGTAGACAATATCATTTATAGTAAATGAAGATGGCCAAGGCCAAATGTTCTTCACGAGGTGAATGGACGGGACGCATGTACACTGTGCATCCACGTAGCATAATACTACACCGGAGGGAAAGTGTGAACCCCTGCTACATGCAGCGTCACAGATCCATCTCACCAACAACATGGAGGACAGATGCTAGGTACAAAATAGCGCATGCGGTATCATCCCATTTATAAAAAGTAAGAAAAAGATAAAACTACAGATTAATTTTTAGAAATTCATGCTAAAGTAGTTAAATTTTTTTTTTTAAAAAAAGAGCAAGACAGGGTGTGATTACCATTAAGGTTGGGGAACTGATCTTTGCTGAGACAGTGGGGTGAGAATACTGAGGAGGTAAGAGGTATTTTTTGGGTGTTGATATTGGGAGGTAGTTTCATGGTTGCTTATTTGTTGAAAATCACCAAGTTGTATATTTTTGTTTTGTGTACCTCTCCATATGTATGTTTCATTTCATAATATGAAGATTTAAAAGGTAAAACATGTGAGAAAATTAACAAAAACTCTTTTAAAATGGTAATCTTATTTCATTTTTTAAATTGAAAATTACCTAGATATCATTTTAAAACTAATTTATTATAATAAAATATACTATTATTTTACAAGAGGAAAGCTTTCTTAATTTTTTTCATAAAAATTAATCAAGTTACTTGAATGCAAACAAATTATAAACTATTACCCTGTTTCTATTGCATTTAAAAATGTGTACTTTTTTACTAAAATGTTATTATATCCAATTTTACAGAAATAATGAGTCATCATAAACAGTTGAAGAAAGTTTTACATTAAAAATATACTACTTCAGATTTTCTTCACTTCTTTTTATATGTCTAGCTTCTAAAATAAATACTTATAATGACATTAATACAAGGATATTTTTATTATAAAATTCACTTGTGTTTTACAAAGATTTCATTTTCCAAGTGTTAGATGACTATCATATGAAGTTATTTTAAGCTGATGAAGTAGCTCTTTATTACCATCATTACAAGGCAATCAATAAATGCTTAACTGTGTGTGACATTCAACTCAGTTTCAAATATATAAAGATACATTTCAAAGAAAAAAGGGCTTCTGTTGTGAGTGGCACATGTCGGGCAGCTGGATTGCTCTATGTGTGGAATCGACATCAAGGTATTTTGGAAGCATAATTTTTTGGTACTGGGCAGCGAGTGGTTGTTGGTCCTGGTACCCTTGACATTCTAAAAAACATACATTTCATATATTTTAGAGCTTATATATAGAGAGAAAATATTCATAGAAAAATAATTAACAAAGGTCTATATTTATGTTCCCTATCGAATTAGGCACAACTACACAGATTTTGTATTCTCGGTGTTTCAGAATTTGACTGCTCATGATTTTAGAGTACTTGACTATACCAGTTCTCCTAATAAGTCACTTTTTTAAGTGAATGAAGTATAAAGGTAAAGGCATTGAGTGAGGGAAGTATCACTTACTTTAAATCCCCAAATTAGGCTATTATTTTATTTTAGTTGAGAGCATGCTTCACCCTCACTTCATCATGCTCTAACTAAGCAATTCATTTATAAAGAACAGGTTTTCTTTAAAAGATGCATTTTATTTCTTTTGTTGGTTTGTTTGTTTTTTTAGTCTGATACCTATTTTCAAACAGCTTCAGAGGGACATGTTCCTCAAATATATTAAAAAGCTATGTATTTCTTGAAAAATTAAAGGAAATGTGTGTTACTGTATTAATGATCACACGTTAACACATAAAAACAGATGTAAAGCTAATGCATGTTATTGACACTGATTTCAGACCTAAGGCAGCTGCTATGGAAACTTCCCGTTGCTTGGTGTTCCTGATGCTGTGTAGGTTTGGTCACCTGAAGCCTCTCATTCCTTCACTGTCATTTGTTTTTGAGGTAAGACATTTGCTTTAGGTGCCTACAGCAAGATTACATATCTATAGCATATTTCATTCATTCACTCACCAATGTTTTTGTCTATTTTGTGACTAGTCCTTGTGGGAAACTTTTACCTGTTCACTTACTTACCAAAATTTAATTGTGTCAACTCGAGCTAGTTAATAGTGTGGAACCTCTGTTTCCAAATGGAATCGTTATGACGAACTTCATACAGTTGTTGGACAAGTTACATTGCATGATGTTCATAAAAAAATCAGGTCCATGGCTGGTTCTCAACAAATAGTAGACATGATTTACAAGAAGTTCTTGGAAGAGAGTTTGCCCTTTGGGATTTTTCTTTTAAGGATTAAAGTGAAAATTGTAAGGTATTTTGTCATTTACCCATAATTCTGGGTAATTATAATTATAATTATATAAGTGGTAATTCTATAGAAATAAAATTGTCAGTGTCATTTGGACTTTTCTAAAGCTGAAAAATTATATATCTTATAATTTGATCTTATATGATGATTATTATATTTTACGAACTACACTGAACATTTGGGTATATATTTATTGTTTGAGATCTTAAACATCTGTTTAAAAAAAACTTTCAGTTTCATCACTAATGTTATATACACTTAAAGAAATTCAGAAATATATATACATGACCCCAAAAAAACAATCAAAATAAAAGAACAGCATTTTCACACTCTAAAGTAGGGAAGCCGTTCTAAATGTATCACAAAACAATTTCACTTAATGAATTTATTTTGGGGTTTATTGTGGGAGTTTACCTAAATGCTCTAAAAGCAGATGGAGAATGTGTTTCTTTAAGTTATTATTAGTATAAAAATGTAGTAATGTGTGCTTATAGAAACATACTATATTTGGAATTCTTTGATGATGGGATAGTGGAAGGCAGTCTGGTGAGTCTGACTTTTGAATATGATAATATCTAGTGGGGAAATACTGTCTACTTACTTATAGTCAGTAAATTATATAGGTGAAAGTGAATAGGTAAATCTTGAGCTTTAAAACCATAATGCCTAAATTTGATTTTTGACTTAGGAACCTACTGTGTATCCTGGGACAGTTCACTGATCCCTTAAATAGTTTTAGCTTTGCCTTCCTCATCTGTAAACAGATGAGGTAATAATGGCTATCTAATAGATTTTCATAATAATCTATTTAAAAGTTTTAGCATGGTGCTTAGCACACAGGACTCAATAACTGGTAGCTTTCATTATTATTACTTAAAGATCCCTTGGACTAATTCTGTGACTTGCTTAGGGGTCCAGAAGTCAAGTATGGTGAGTGGGGGGTATGGAGGAGAAAAAAATGTTGAATTAAAAGTCAATATTATGAATTCTTCGTTGGACACTCATTCTATGACATGGGACTCTAGTCGTTTATTTGTAAAATAGGTTTAATGAGAGCTAATACACATTGAGCTTTTACTATGCTCTCAATGCCTTACTTTTATCATCCCATTTAATCCTCATACCAATGTAACTCATGCTGTGGTTACTATTACTATTATTTTTATAATGAGAAACTTGAGTTCCAGCCAGGTTCCATAGCTTGTTTGGATTAACATAACTAATAAGTGAATGAGTCAGAACACAAACTCAGGCAGTCTGATGGCATCGCTCTTAATCATCCAGCAACATTTGTCCCATATTATGAGGGCAACACTCCTCTACCCCAAGACTTTCAGATGGAAAATACAAATACAATGCAGCAAAGCATCTTAAAAATATGAAGAGCTACAATAAAAACTTCATATCAACTTAATCACAAAATATTCCTAAAAGACTAGTGGTTTGAGTAGCTTACCTCTGAATTATCTTTGGTTTACAATTCAAGGAATGAAAGACAGTGGGGCAAAAACCTTTCAGGCTGCTCACCGACCCTTTCTGGAACATGCTATTGTTCATGTTCCAGCCCATGGCCAATTATTCAAGACCAGACGTTGCCTGTGATTCACCACCAACACTTTCCCTTAAAATGGTATAAGAATAGTATCTACTTCACATGGTCTTTGGAAAAAATTTAAAAAGCATGGTAGAACATAAGAAATACTTGATCCATTTTAATTGCTCTCATCATTTATAGTACAATTATAACTGCTATTAATACTATTGAAATTATTATTAACCATTGGATTTCCATGGTTAAAAATGAACAAGTCTTCTCTGACCAGCAGTTAAAAACCCTGTGGTCAACAGTGAGTGAGCAAGTGTTAGCATTTAAACCTGTGAAGCTGCCTTTTCTTCCACTTCTTTTTAATGTTCAACATTTTTTAAGTTACAACCAGTTTCCAATTTTTATTTCTTAATTGTGAACTTCAAATTTGTATTTCCTTCACATTTTTATTTCTTGGAACTTTATGTAAATCACTGCCACTTATAATAATTTTCATAAAATTGTCCTTTGCCCTGCACAAGGAGTATAAGAACTTAATCAATGACCTCATTAACTCCACTCAATGTGAATCAGGACTGATGGACTGGGAGTCATAAAACTACAAGGACACGATGTTCTCCTCATTTTGCTTTGGAGCTGTCATCAGCATCAACATCACTGAAACCATTAGTCCCCTTTCTTTTGTAAACCAATGTTGTATATAATGGCAGCTTCAGCCCTGGGGCTCTTCTCTGTCTGGAAGGTCGGCAGAGTTGTTCTGTGGGAGAAACTTGGACGGGCGGAGCAGAGGGCGGAGAGCACTTTACAGAATGGACAATACAGTGAAAAGTCCAGAAGCAGGGTGGACCACAGACTGGTTAAGTGATGAGATGAACTAATAACAATAGCCCAAAATGTGGGTCCTAAGATCAGATAAATAAGGACTCACTGAAGTTAGAGCCAACTTGCCTTGCTTTTTGCGGGGGGTAGGGGGAGAGTGGGGGAGGCATGTTTGTTCAACACTTACTGAATGCCTGCTCCAGCAAAAACAGAGCAAGGTCAGACACGTTTTTGGCTGATGCTCTGTTTCATTCTCAAAAGGCTGCATTTAAGGTATTGGCCAGATTACGTTCTCATCTGGAGGCTCAACTCTGGAAAAAGCCACTTCCTAGCTCACTCAGGTTGTGGACAGAATTCACTTCCCTGCAGCTATAGGACTTTTGGCCCCAGCTTGTTTTGGGCCCTAGAGGCTGCCTGCAGGTCCCCACCCTGCTTCCTCAACAGGGCCCTTTCGTTCATTAAGCCAGCCAGGAGGGCTTCTGGGAGGTCTCAGTCCCTCTTGTAAGGGTTTTTTACCTAATTAAGACAGTCTCATCAAGGATAATCCTGTTTTAACCCCCATTACTGCTCTGAACACATTTTCTACTATCTTCCTCTTGCCTAGTCAATTTCAGACATGCACTTTGCTGGGAACGTGTTTAGTACACCCGCGTCAGTACCTTTGCACTTCATTTTGCCTGTGACTGCTTTTTCCCAGTAATCCATGTGGTTTTTGCTCTCACATCAGGTAGTAACTGAAATGTCACCAGCCTTCCCTTGGTACTGCTTTCATTGATGTTATTGATATTTTCTAATTTTGCCTCCTTCACATTTAGGATATTTTTATCATAGTACTTATTGTTACCAAATAAACATATACATGGATATAAACATATATATGTATATAAATATTTGACTGAATTATAGTCTGTTCCCTCTCCAACAGTGGCAAACAGAAACTAGAGTGGCCCGAGACCCCTGCCCCTGCTGTTTATAACTATCGGTCTGTTAATTGCCCTGGAAAATTCTTACCCCTAGACTGTGGATGAGACCTGTAATTTGTTTCCAGCCAATAGGATATGGCACAGGCTCTTGGACACATTTCTTTGTTTAGTTTCTATCAAAGGAGCACTGACATCACCTGTTCCCCATACAAAGAATGTTAAACTATATATGTATTAACTTTTAAATAACAATGCATGCATGTTCACATGTCCCTTGTTATTTAAATAGTTGGCCAAAATACACATGTTGGAAAGCAAGGGAAGATTTAGCTGTTCTTTGTAGCCTTGTGGGTTTTTTTTAATTTTTTATTTGTGTTCAAGTACAGTTTTCTGTCTTTCACTCCCATCCCTCCCCACCTCCCTCCCATTTTCACTCCCCCTATAATCGTTCCTGTGAACCCTACCCCTTTTCCCCTGAAATTCCCTTAAATTCCCTCCCCTCTCCTCTCTGGTTACCGTCAGCCTGTTCTCTGTTTCAGTGTCTTTGGTTACATTTTGCTTGTTTGTTTTGTTGCCTAGGTTCCTGTTAAAGGTGAGATCATATGGTATTTGTCTTTCATGTAGCTTCATATTTTCATAAATTCTTTCTTCTTT